AAAAAAAAAAAAAGGTCCAATTAGTAATTAAGAGCAATGGAAACAACGGCGATGTCCTCGAGTTCATAATACTAATATCATCGATCCATCGGCAGATGGTTACACAACTACAAATGAGTAACAGATTAAGTGTATATTAAGAGTTGTCTATAAATTAATCAACTTATAATAATAAAGCAACACCAGCAGCAGCGGCAGCACCGAATAAACCGGCACCAACAGCACCAGCACCAGAGTCAGAAGAAGAGCTGGAGGTACCGTTGGTACCATTGGTACCGTTGGAAGCGTTAGCAGCAGAGACGGCAGAGACGGCAGTTAAAGCGATAACAACAGATTTGAATTGCATTGTAGATTAATGATAAAGAAAAGTAGATAAAACCAGAAGAGAAAAATTGAGAAAATGACTTAATTTATATATTTAATTAGCTGACGGAAAAAGGTGACAAAAGAAAAGCAAAACATACTAAAAAAGAAAAGAAAAGGAACGACTGGCAATTCGAGTAGTATTTTTTTGTTTGTTAGGCTGATTAGATTGTTTTAATTTGTAGCAATTGTGCTGGATGTGCACAGAAGCCCGCACCTCCTAGTCCATTTATTCCTATTTTAATTTCGTGACTGAGATGGAGGTGTTTTGAGCAAAAGAATATTACACGATGGCTTGACGATTGTATTTATTGTAATGGTTATTAATATATTAAACGTATATGAAGGGCTATATGGTATAGATAAAAGTGTATCAAGTATAGGGTATTAGTAGAAGTATTAGTGTTAGTATGGTAAGTAAATGTATTCATGTAGTATTATATCATTAGGTCATGAGCAAGCATAGGTGCAAATTTCAATTAGTTCGTTACACAATTAGTCCCGATAAACACTATTTAATTTAATAATGTGATTAATTTCAGCATCATAATCTCGATCATTCTTAAAATAGTTATACATGAATAAATCGGCTCTTAGAGGTTTGCTCAACCCATTCAGTTTTTGATAAGTTGTTAGCAAATCATTGAATTCTTTGGTGGATTCTTCATTTAATTGTAGTAAATTTAGTTGATCTTGATGGAATTTAGTGAAAAAGCGACTTTTATAATATTCTTTAAAAATCCGATTATCTTTTAATAAACTGATATGATCATTTAAATTTAATTTATTAATTTGTAATTTTTCAATGGCCCCCACCACTCTTTTATTTTTAGGTTCTTGATCTTGGATCCATTTGGATGGATTATTAAGATAATCCAATATATCCTGGGTTTTAACCCATATTCTAAAGTTGTTCAAGTAGATATAATCACGAAAGTTCTTCTCGATTAATCCATTCAATCCGTATTCGTAGTTTAGGGTCATGATAAAGTTACTTGGAACATAACTTAATTGGTTTTCAACCGCAGTTAATAACAACGGGGAAATCTCTTCATAAGTATTGAAATGATTATTTCTACAATTAAATGCTGGTAATTCTTCATTTTTAACGTAATGGTCCATTTGTCCATTGTCATCAGTGTGTTCTCGGATTTTTTCTCGTTTCCCTTCATCGATATCAATCAAGTAATCGTATCTTGATGGTGCTGGGGTATCAGTGATTGCCAACCCGGTAATATCAATGTAAAGTCCAGTATCCACATCAATAAATCGTCCATCAATGTTGTTATTCCCATTACCCTTGGTACGATGGGTTATTGAACTTCCAATATCAATGAAATATTTACCCATCCCACTAAATTCAAACTTGGAATCGTCTCCCACGTTTTCAATCACCAAGGATTGGTTGAAACGTCGACTCAATTCATGTAATTCTCCAATGGGCATTTGAACATCTATATCAGTATCCCAAGGAAATGCAATCCCGTTCCAATACCACGATAATAACGATCCATGGGCGATCCAAGTAATCAATCCATTTTGTCGAGCAAAATTAAGATAATTCTTAATTAACCGATGTAACGATAGTATTTGCTCTTCCTTCCCAACAGTTAATCCATTGAAAAATCTCCAATCATAATGTTCCCCCAACCATTTTTGCGGGTTCTTCTCTAATAATTTTGTCTCTTTGAAAAATTTAGGTGGAGAGTCCATACTGAGAGAATTTTTCAATGAGTTCAAATATTCAATTTCATTCTTCAGCGTGATTCTCTTCTTGGATAATTCATTTTTAATTGCTTCGGCATCAACATTGAAGGATTCAATCGGTATATCTATTTTATTGGATTTAAGCACTTTATCTCCATTGGTTGGTGGATTATATTTGAGTAAATCTTTATAAGCTTTTAAAGGATTTAACTTAATTTTACTTGAGGAATCATGTAAATTGGTTCGTGGTCTTGATTTAATCACTTTTTCCACCATCTTGTTATTAAGTAAACTATATTTTAAATCATTTTGACTATTAATAACCGGGATTTCATACGATCCTTTCAGTTCCGTTAAAAAAATTAACTTATATGGTGAGGGGAATGACAGGTACAAGTGAGCCTTAGATAAGATCTCATGATTATCAATGGTTTGTGGTCCACTGAAACCCTTAACTTTAAATCCGAGGGGGAATTTTAAATCTTCCTTACAGTAGTCTTCCAAGGGGAATAATTTAGAATTTTCAACCAACTTAGTATTCTTCAGGATATCAAATAATTCTTTACAAGTTGGTTTTTCATTCTTTCTGGAAAGAATATACTTATTCAATTTAGTTAAATCAACCCAATCACTCCAATGAAATGGAACTCCCTTTTTCTCAACATTCTTAGTGGCTAAATAATTTAAATACACTGAAAGGGTGAATCGGGCATCAAATGGTTGATAACTAGGTTTTTCAATTAACAGATTGATGAAATAACTGGGAACAGTTATATCCAAGGGTAATTCCATCAGAGGATTAATATCCCATAATTCATTATTAACGTCATTCTTTAATTTCTCCTGTAGTAATGAATTGAGCTGCTTTTCAAAATTTTTATCTTCTTCCAACTTCAAATTCGTACTCAATAAATTAGTATACCATCCTCTAAATTTTAACTTCACTTGTCTTTGAACTTTCAACTTGTATTGGTTTATCAGAGGATTCTGTAATGAAGTACTAGTAGTATGAAATATGGTATAGAATACCATTAAAAGTACGAATACCTTAATTATTAGTCTCTTGGGTATTTTAATCGACTTTAACATATTAGCATACTCTTACCTTACTGAAAAAAAAAATAACAACTAAATGGTAAAGTAAAATTTCATATATATATATATTTCATCAGCCTTGTAATTTAATTTTTACTTTGCTTCACTGCCAATTATGACGGGGCTCGCACGATTAAAAATTGATTCCGCTAAATCTCTTGTGATGCTTAATTCCTTTGTTGCTTTTTCCTCCAGGTATTTTTTTTTTTCCATTAAGAACGTAGGGGGTATCTTACGCTTAGTTTATTGGTGTATCTTAACCTCGAGGTATCATCGTTACGTTGGTGTGTTGCTTGTTTACACATCCAAGGCTCGGTACCTGAGACAACAGTGGAGTAGTTAAAAAGAGGAGCAGCAGTCGCTCATCGATTATACTACGTTACGCATCTCTCACAAAATTACAATTAACCTTATCGACACATTAAGTTAACAGGGTGTTAGAGTTGTCTATTGTACATTCTATTTACTTGTAGGCTTATTCGGTGGAAGCTATTGGTGGAAGGACTAGGTATCTGGTTGGTTGGGTTGGGGATCAACTCGAGTTCGACTGATATCGTCAGTAGCTTCTTGAGTTTGTTCGAGGATTGGTGGGTGTCCTGGAGCCTTTTGTATTGGTTTTGATCTTTGATCTTGACCTTGTTTGTTTTGTTGATCTTGTTGATCTTGTTCATCTTGTTCATCTTGCTTGGTTTCTAATGGAGCCTCCTTGGAAAGTTTAACTTGTTTCAACTTATCTTCGACCATTCTTTCGAATTTGTAATTTTCTCTTCTAGCACAATACGTGAAATAGTCATGACGGATAGTAGGGAAATATGTTTTGAGGTGATCATCATGTAATAGCATTGACTTAGTATCTTTACCATTCAATAACTGTTTGATTTCGTGTTCGTGAAACTCAGTTATGTTTCTGGTTAGAATATATTCAACTAATAGTTCAGGTTGGTCAAATAATAAATCAATATAATCTTCATCTTTGAAATGTTTCACCGGGATATTATCATAATCTTCTTCTTCTTCATCATCCCTTTTAACTTCACCCCTTTCCAATTTTTGTTTCTGTTCTTGGTTATGTAAAAATTTGTTCAAGTTTCTACTTACTAACCACATTCTTAATTTTGGTAAAAAGGTAAATCCTTTGAATTTTTTAGCCATTAATCCCTTCTTACCGTATTCATTATGCAAAAGTTGAGCAAAATTATTTGGGATATAACCTGGTTGTCCTTCAATAATACTCAATTTTAGTGGGTTCACTTCGCTTAATCTAACAAAATGATTATTTCGACAATTATATGCTTCAAGCCATTCATTACGATTATAATCAGAAATCGTTTCATCAAGCAAGTTACGGTCTAAATGCGAAGGTAATTCATGGTTAAACCGGGTTGGGGTCTTTGTATCGGTTAACGCTAATCCAGTTATATCAATATAAAGACCAGTATCAACGTCGATAAATCTCGCATCGATATTATTGTTACCATTACCCTTAACTCTACTCAGAATGAAAGTACCACAATCTAAGAAATAACGACCAAATCTACTTTCTTCATCTCCACCTTGACCTAAATCAACAATTAAAGATTGATTATGATATCTTGATAACTTATGTAAATCGGCAATTGGCATTTGAACATCAATATCGTTATCCCAAGGAAAGGAAATTCCATTCCAATACCATGATAATAAAGAACCATGAGCAATCCAAGTGTTTAACCCATAAGTATTTGTAAATGTTAACCAAGCTCTAATTAGTCCGAATAAAACCGGAGGTTGCTTTTCAGTATAATTAATAATTCCGGAGAAAAATCTCCAATCATAATGACCACCCAAAGCCCAATTCAGTTCCTTTTTCAATATTTTAGCTTCATCAAAATATTTTGAGGGAGAACCAGTACCCAAACTAACATTGAGAGAATTCATATAATTTAAATCGGAATCACTCAAGATTTTTTTAGTATTTTCTAATTGAAGTTGATTATGAATACTTGTTGAATTATCGATGAAATCTTGTGGTTCTAAAAATTTAGAATATGACGTACTTTGCTGATAAACAAGGTTAATTAAATGCAGTTTTTTTTCATCTTCATTAAGATCTTCAAAAAGTTCTAATTTTTTCTTTAGTACATCAACCAAATAACTAGTCTGATCTCTAATATTTAAAATGATATCTTTGGAAACGTCTAATAATTCTTTATTGGCACGACGATATCTTTTAGCGTAATTTTGAGCCAAATCAGTATCGATTAATTTTTTCTTATTTTCAATTTTTTGATTAACTTGAACTCTTAAATCGATTGATCTTGAATTATCGAAAGGTAATAAGAAATTTATTGCTAATGGAGGTGGCATAAAATCATTTAAGTAAGATTTCGATTGTATTATCTTCAATTTCTTCTTAGAACGACCTGGGTATTTAAAAATATGCCAATTTGTGGAATATGGTTCATCCTTAATTTTACGAAGTGCTTTTAAAGTTTCTTCATCTTTTAAATCAATAAGTTGATCAACCAAAGCTCTTTTCTCTTTTGTTTCTTGATCTTTTGGATTTAAAATCAATTCAATATCTTCGTCATTTAAACAAAAATCTTCTGGCTTTAAAATTTCCAATTTTTTATTCCTTAACCGATTATTAGTACTAACATCAAAAAAGCTAACACAGTCTGATTTGTCATTAGACAAAAGGTATTCGTCCAACACTGAAAGATCACTCCAATCACTCCAATGGAAATAAGGAATCGAGACGTCATCCAAATTACTGACTCTTCTCAAACTAGTTGATAAGTAGTCAAAAATCAATCCCAAAGTAAATCTTGGATCGAAATCCTGTAAATGAGGATTTTCATAAGTATCTGGATCGGTTAAATACTCCGGTATGATGATTTCATTACTATGCTGATTATTAAATAGTTCTAATAAATAAAGAAATCTATTTTCGTCATTTACTTCAACACCACCATAAATAGATTCAAATTTTTTATCAATTTTTTGATTGAACTTTAATAAGCTATTTGGTTTTTCATAAATGGTATTACTGAAATAATTCTTCACATCAAACAAATTCACTTGTAATTTTGACTGTAAACTTGATCCCGGTTCATTATATCCAATTAATGTTATCACTATAAAGTGAAATATCACAATCATAATCAACAAGTATAGACATCTTGATTTTCTAAACATCATCTCGGACCTGCAATACCAAAAGAAGTCCCTTGAATCCTCTTAAATTTTAAGAAAATGTACGGTTTATACAAAGTTCAAAGTAATAAAGAAGGACCTTTTTCCCATTATAAATGGAATTATCACCAAAATTAAACCTTTTCGTTATAAGCCTTGGTGAATTGTGCACACTAGGATTAGTTAGTCTATTACACTACTTGCTCGAAGCTAATCTACATGAATTCAATGTAACCTTACTGGCGCCTCTACATCATTTACAGACCTTCTCTCGTATTCATAAGCATCAAACATTGGAACCATCGGGTCTATGGTACACGGTACTCGCAAAAGCTTATGTTCACACGATCAATTAACCTTTTACAACTGGAAAATGTTGTCGCGTAACAGCAACCTTATGCTGGTGTCTGGGTGGTACCCCCGGTCTAATAGACATTGGATGCCTGAAGGTCACTGTAGCATGCCACTATAGCATGCCACTATAACATGCCACTGTCGCTGTAGACAGAGCTAGTCGTGGAGTATGGCCGGAGACAGAAGACTGGAGAAGACCCAAACATTGACAGGACATAGAAGGACAAATATTGACAGGACATACAAGGACAAATATTGACAGGACATACAAGAGAAAATATTGCCAGTACGAGAGAAAATATTGACAGGTTATACAAGAGATAAGATTGAAAGACAAAGAGAAAATATTGACAGAAAATAGGCGGCCATAGACAGTATCGTATAATTATAAGTGTAGACAGATTAGACAGACATTGTAGGATTGCAGCAGAAGACAAACAAAAAGAAAAATTAATGAGACTCTAGAGAAACAGTTACAAGAAGCCACCACGATGAAGTTCAAGATTGCATGTATTCAGATCAACCCTGAGATCGGGAAGTTGTCGCTGAATATCAAGAAAGTCGAATCGTTGGTGTCCAAGTTGGTGGCTAACCCTAAATATACCAGTATCGATTTACTACTCTTACCCGAATTTGCATTATCAGGGTATAATTTTAAAAGTAGAAAACACATTGAACCATACCTAGAACCAACTGGGAGTGGAGCTTCATTTACTCTAGCATCTAGATTATCCAAACAACTCAAATGTTTCACTTTAATTGGATACCCTGAGATTAATCAAAATTTAATTTACAATAGTGCATTATTAACTAGTCCAGCCGGTGAATTATTATACAACTATCGTAAAACCCACTTATACGAAACTGATGAAGGCTTTGAGTGTAATGAGAATCCAAATCAGTCTTTTGAATCAATTCAATTAGTGGCTGATAAAAATTATTATCTTAATCCAGATGAAAATAAATCTTATCCAACTATAACTACTAATTTTGGTATTTGTATGGATTTAAATCCCTATCAATTCAAAGCTCCCTTTAATGCTTTTGAAATGTCCCTTAAATGTTATATGAATAATGCTAAATTAATTTTATGTCCTCTCAATTGGTTATCACAAAAATCTCCTTCGATAAACGATTCATTATCGCCCGAAGCTAAAAAGGATGAAAGCAACCAATATTCCAAGCATTTCATAAATGGCCTGCAAGTGATTAATACTAGTGCCGAATCTCAACCTCCTGTTGAATCAATTGAAAAATTCGATCCTAAAATATCAAATTTAGAAACTATCGACTACTGGATCTTGAGATTCTTCCCCTTCTTAAAACACCCTTATAATCAGCTTCCTCTGAAGCCCCATAAAACTACAGTGGTTATTAATAACCGGGTTGGTCTTGAAGATGATGTCTTGTACGGAGGGTCCAGTACCATCTTTCAATTTGACGGTAATTCTCCCGGGAACGACCTGATTGACTCTACTAACCCTAGTGTTGACATCGTTGGGAGCTTGAGTATGGGTGAAGAAGGAGTCTTATATAGAGAAGTCGACTTAGACTTGGACTAATCCATTACATTTCAGTATTTGCATCTTTCCAAATAAACACCCGTGCATCCGCACGTGACTTGTAGCCAATAGAAAACGAACAAATGAAGAGCGAAAAAAAAAAACCACCCCATTTCAAAAATAACAATTATCATTAGATTAATTACTTTATTATCACTCGATTAATTACTCGATCTTTTTTCATTAGTCAAGATGTTTAGAGGTGTTCTTCAACGTAACTTTGTTAGATTCAATTCCCACGGTCATGGTCACGGTCATGTATCCAAATTAATTAACGAACCAGCTTTCCAACCAAATAAAGAAGTTGGTGATGCTTTTAAAAAAGCTTATGAACATAAAAGAGATCATTCAGAACCAGTTACTTTATTATGGAAGAAAATCACTTACTGGGTAGCATTACCAGCCATCATAATCACTGCAATTCCAGTTATTAGAACTGAAATCAAACATGCTCATCATAGAGAACATACCAAACATTTATCTGACGAAGAATGGCCAACTCAATATGAATATCAAAATTTAAGACAAAAGAAATTTTTCTGGGGAGATGGTGATAAGACATTATTTTGGAATTCTGATGTTAATAGACACATTGAAGCTTAAGGTATTTTTACTTTAAAAATTATTCTATTTAGTTCATATTAAGTTTATAAAAACAATACATTTAAAAATCTTTTATACATTAATTGTTTTAGATTATAAAGTAGAAAAAATATAAAGATTATTTGTTGCAGCAATTGCAACTGAATTTTCTCTTGGATGCCATGATAAATGCAATATACTTTTTTTAAAATCAATGTTATCAAAGTCACCACCAGGGTTACTAGTACCAACACCACTCATCATTCTCCTTCTCATTGAACCACTATTATTTGATTTTTTCAGTTTAAAAGCTGATTTATCAGCTTGTAATATAATTTCTTCTTGTTCTTCATCATTTTCAAATTGAGAATTTGGAGATTGTGGATATGAAACTCCATCAGTTGGAGGAGAATCAACATCATCATCATCATCATCAGAATTGTCATCATCATCATCAACAGAATTATCATCTTTTTTATTAGTGGTTGTATTAGAATTAAAATTATTATGTTTATTATTATTTGTTTTATTGGAATCATTAGTTTTATTAAAATTTGAATTAACGGCATTTGGATAAATCATAAAGTTATTATTATAAGATCCAGTCATGACTGATTTATTATCACCACTAAATTGAACTTCAAATTTATCAAAAATTGCATCATTTTCATAAGTATCACATAATCGATCTCTTAAATGTTCATGAACATTAATTGTTTTAATTGGCTTCAGTTCCATTGCTAAATCCCATATTTTAACTGTCATATAATCTCTTGAAACAATATATCTACCATCATGACTAAATTTAACATCACTAATTGATGAAGTAATTTCAGTGAAAAAATTATGAGATGCCGGATCTAAATATTCTTCAAAAATTTTTGAATGAGAGTCACATAATGAATTTGATCTCATATCTGATAATTTAATGGTACCTTTTGATGATGAATACATGAATAAATTACAATGACTTGGATGAAATTCAGAACTGGTAATAACTTCAGTTAATTCTTCCATATTAGTTGGTTTTATATCAACAATATTAAAACTTTGATCAGCTATTCCTAAATTCCATAAATTAATTCTTAAATCATCACTACTTAAATAAGTTTCTTGATCAGAATTAATTGAAATTGAATTAATATGATAGGCATGAGCATTACTATAAATTTTTTTGGGTTGAGCACTGATTAATTTATCATGTAATGATAATTTTGGTAATTTCAATTCATCAATTGATATTTTAGAATTATTCGGTAATCCTCCATTTAAATTATTTTCACTAACTAATTTAACTTGTCTTTCCATAATTTTCCATAATTTAATTGTTTTATCATTAGTTGATAATAAATATAATGAATTATTATAACTTCTCAACCATTTAATTTTATTAATTTTTTCTTCAATTTCTAACGATTTTAAATAATCAAATTCGGCATCATGACTTTGAAATTCAGTGAAGAATTTATATTCACAATTTTGTTTTTTCTTACTGGGATTTCTTTCAAATAAAACAACCCTACCCCCCTTATCTCCAGTAGCTAAGAAATCTCCAGTATGATCAAATTCAACCGTTGAAATAATATCAGCTTCAGTGATATTCTCAATGTCTCCCTTATCACCAAAGCATTGAGAAAATTTCCAACTATTATCCATAGTCATCCTTAATCATATACTTTTAAATCAATTACTTTTATATAGCCTTCTTATATATATATATATAGAAAGCTTCCTTATAAAAAGACAACAATTAGCCGGGAATCTCAATTAAGAAAACACAATTAAGAACAGGCAACAAACTGGAAAGGATTTAATTCTGGTGATGTGCTGGACAGAAAAAAAAAAAAAAAAAAAAATTAAATAAAATAAAAAAAATTACTAAAGCTTAAAAGTTCGTCCAAATTTTTTTTGTTTTCGCTTTTGTTGTTTGTTTAAGGGGACAAAAGCAGTAGACAAATGTTATTCGATGGTTCAATTGGAAGCACAGCAGTTCAATTGGAAGTTCAGCAGTTCAATTGGAAGTTCAGCAGTAGAATATCAAAGATCAATTGACAAATCAGTAGGTAATGAAGTAGGAATTGAAGATGCAATAAAAATATTGATTGAGAGAAGAGCAAGTAACAGGAGGTTCATTTGTATTCCCGGTGAGGATGGCGGTGATTCAGTTCGTTCTGCTGAAAGGGAGGGAGGGCGAGAGCCTGTTGTACGGGCCGGAAGGTCGCTACATAAACACACAAACAAAATAATGTACGGAGGTTATTACAAAGACTTTATATTTAATACAAAACTATTTAGTTAGCTTTTTTGGCAGCATCAGCAGGGTTAACTTTTCTGTCACTGGTGAATCTTTTTCTTTGAGGAGGAGCTCTGATTCTTCTGTCAGTTCTGGATCTAACTCTAACAATTCTGGCGTGGATAGCACAGGAAACACAGTAGTGTAATTTGTTATATAATTTTGGTAAAGCGTATTCAGAGTAGACGGAAGCTTCAGATAAATCTCTGACAGCGGCAGCTTCAACCATGTTTCTGATGGTGACTCTTTTGATGGCTTTATCTTTTGGAACACATCTAGCACAGTTTAAACATCTGACTGGTTTAACGTGACCTCTACCTTTCTTATTTCTACCGTTGGAAGCTCTCTTTTTTGGCATATTGAACTAAAAGAATGTTAGTACGAGATCATTATCTGAATGAATATTCATCACTGTTTAAATCCACCATTTAAATTTTCATTCAATTATTGATTTCTTCAGTTATCCGCCCAGTTATCCACTCAGTTATCCACTCAGTTATCCGCTCAGTTATTCACTCAGTTATTCATTCAGTTATTCATTCGGTTATTCATTCGGTTACTCAGGTATTTTATCCAATCACTCATTCACCCATTTAACTCAGTAGACGATATTCATAGTACATGTATAATTCACATACCTATTATTGTATACTGAACAAGAGTAAAAGAAGAAGGTTTGAAAAAAAAAAGTTGATATATTTCAATCAAGTACTCCGTGAGCGCTCAGTAGTTTGTGTGTGTGTGCAATATAAAATTTTTTCACCCATCAGTAAAATTGTTAGCGGTGCGAGTAGTGTAAAGAGTGCCCCTGGAAAGCAGCCTACGCTTGCGCGCACGTGCGCGCACGAGGGCTCTAGCCCTGAGGGGTCGACCGAAGTGAAAATGTACGGGTCTGTTGCATGCACGTGAACACTCACGTGTGCGTGCTGTACGGGTCTGCTCCCCTTTGAACCAACCAATAAAATCGAATATTTAATAATTTTTGTACGTTGTTTTTTCCCAGTTAGCTGATTTTGGTTTTTTCACTCGCTCTGCTCATTAAAAATGAAGATTGGTTTTTACAATTATAGGTATTCTTATCAATAACTATAAAAATATATATTCATGTATGTTATAGGTTCAATTTATTTATTGATTATCAGCTTGTACTAACCCCCAATATTAGAATGCTCTCTCGTTCATTACGTGTTATTAGACCATCTATTCAATCAGTTAGATTGTTTTCAACTTCAAAAATTACTTTACAACATAATAAAGTTGACTCTAAAACTGCAAGCAATTTATCTGAAGTTACCGGTCCAGATTCTTCTTTAATTGGTCCTGGTGCTAAGCCAGGTACTATTCCAACTAATGAAGATCAAGCTACTGGTTTAGAAAGATTTGAAATGTTGGGTAAATTAGAAGGTATTGATGTTTGGGATATGGAAAATCCAATTAAAGAAGGTACTGGTCACCCAACTGATCCTTTCTTAGTTCCTTCTTATCTTGGTGAACGTATAGTTGGTTGTAAAGGTAAAGGTGATGAAGATCATAAACCTTATTGGATGAATGTTTCTGAAGATAAACCAGGTAGATGTTGGCATTGTGGTAATGTTTTCGCTATTAAATACTTGGGTTCTCCTGAACATCACCATCATTAAGTTTATTACGTCAATTCTTAGCTCATGTTCTCTTCTCCTTCAATCTGTTTCATTACTCCTTTCTATTTTATTTCTAAAAAGAAACATTTCAAAAAAATTTCCGGTCATATCATAGACTCATTGTCTCTTCCAAATTATATAAAGATTCTCTATGATCACATAATTTTAAGTTAGCGTATTTCAATTCCGTGTAGATATCTAGTTATGTTTATTTGGTTATCTGATTTTTTTTTTTTCGCTCGTTGATAAATTGTACTTTCATGTACTACTTCCTTTTCAATATTTCCTTCGATAATGAAACCCCAAGTTCTATTTATTGGTGGCTTGAATAAATCGCTTCCTGAATATCAACGATTCAAGTCGAATTTCGAATGTATCGATTATAAAATTACAACAAAAGAACAATTAATCAACGATTTTAATACTAAATTTAAAAATATTCTGGCTATTTATGGTGCCTGGCTTGGGTTTGTATTAATTGGTGGATTTAAAAATGATATCATTGATAATGCACCGCCTAATTTGAAAATCATCTCAATTTGTTCGGTTGGCTATGACCCTTATGATACTAAAGCAATGGCTCAACGTAATATCATCTTAACAAATGTTCCCTCGGATGGTGCTGCCGAGCCAGTAGCTGATTTGGTCTTATACAATACTTTAACCAGCTTTAGAAACTTCCACTTAAATACTAGAAACTTCACTGCCGAGTCTAATCACACTGTTCATTTGAGAAGAAGTTTAGAATCAAGTTCTTTTGATAAAAAATCCGGCATAATTGATTTACAAAAAGATCATGAATACTCTTTTGGTGAAACCGTAATCAATAGACCCTGTTTATCCCCAAGAAATCATCATGTAGTCATCTTGGGGTTTGGTAAAATTGGCCAGTTGATTGGTAAAAAATTGGCCGCTATTGGTATGGTTATCCATTATGTTAAAAGAACTGACTTATCAAAAGCTGAAAAATCAAATTTGGGCTACGATGCTACTTTCCATTCTTCTTTGGATTCCGCTAAATTTGCGGATCTAGTCGTGATTTCATTACCCGAAACCCCGGAAACAAGACACTTGATAAATGAGCAGTCTATTAATAGTTTCGACAAACCTTTTAGAATCATCAACGTTGGCCGTGGTCCGGTGATTGACGAAATCGCTTTAGTTAATGGGTTGAAATCAGGTAAAATCTTATTTGCAGCTTTAGACGTTTTTGAAAATGAACCTTCGGTGAATCCACAACTATTCGGTAGACAAGACGTGGTATTGACTCCTCATGTTGGAGCCTCAACCGTCGAAAACTTCGACTACACTGCTGTTCAAGCATTGAAGAATATTGAAAATGTTTTAAATGGCAGTCTTCCCTTGAATAAAGTGAATTAATATTGCCACTTAATCATATTAAAAGTTATTCAATGAAAGCTATTCAATAAAAGTTATTCAATAAAAGTTATTCAATAAATAATCAATAAAAGTTATTCAATAAATAATCAATAAAAGTTTTACTTACCCCGGATTTTGTAGTTGCAAATTTTTTTTTCGTGGTTTTTGATAAAAGAATTAAAAACTGCGAAAATTGTTTGTTATTTTTGCAAAATAACAACAAAAATCACTTTAATTAGCCGCCATCCAACATCATATCAGCAATGTCTCTGCAAATTGTAAAGCAACGGAAGACATCGAAGAGGAAACTTGACTCTAATGAATCACACATGGCTGTGAACGAGTTTCATGTTAAAATTCTACATTTTTTAATTGAGAATTTGATTCCATTTGATTCGGTAACCAATTCAAGTTTTAAAAATCTCCTACTCCATCTCCATCATAGTGCAGTTCAGTTGCCGGATGTCGAGACTTTGCTTCATTTGGCTAACCAGATGTATAACGACTACCAGAATTATTTTCGGGAATATTTTGGTAACCACGAGGAAATATCTATTTCATTAACTTGTCATAGTTACCAATTTCTCAAGGATGAAGAGCCTTACATATTCTTGAGTGCTAGTTATATTGATTCCCGGTTCAAGCTATGTGAATTACCTTTGGGAGTATTCAATTACAATTCTATAAACTTATCAAATTTAATTGTAAGAAATACTTTTTTGAATAATTATAAGGGCAAATTAAATTTCATTACTTCGAACTGTTCCTTTGATGAAAGGTGTTTAGACATCTTCAAATTTGTAATTAATGAACCAGGAATTGATATCAAAGACAAAGTACTTCCATGTGTTCCTTCATTTCTTAATTCAAGAGTAGAAATATTTCTCAATCAGCTAAGGCCCGCTTTTGAATTAGAACATCCCACCCAATTAAATATAAATTCAGTCACTTCTTCCGATGACGTGATTCCTCATTTAACACAAGTTTTCCTTGGTCCTATTTATACCAAGTTTAAAGCAATTCCTTTCACTTTATTAAGCCCTTGCAATGGCGATGAAGGAGGGGCATATTTAGATATTTTGAAGAGTACTTCGAAAAACAATGACCGAAACATCACCCTCATGTTTTTAAACAGTTGTTTGGTTTATAAAGATAAAATTAATGAAATTAGTGATGTTGGATTAACCGACTTAGAATGGCAGCTTGTTGATTTTTTAGTGCAATTCAATCGAATCATTTGTGAAATTATCATTCATATCTTTGATAATTCCCACGCAACATCTCATATGGCGCTAAAATGGTTGAAGATACTAATCATTAAATTAATCTCTTTTGAAAAATTACTTGATAAAAACTATCCTTTAATTGAAACAAAAATTTCGCAGCCGTTAAAAGATTTTTTAGCTTCGATTGAATCCTTCCATATTGAAATGGAAAATAAATACGATTTGATTCTTTCAAGCTATTTGCATCCTTCTACTAAACGCCTTTTAAAAGAGAAGGACGTCAATAAAATTAGCTCCAATGTTGAAAAATTAAGTAAAAATGATGATCCCCACCAATTTGAAACAAGTGACATCGAAAGTCTTCTCTTGAAAACTTTCAACTGTTTAGGAAGCTCGACCGAATGCTATGATTATGAAACTTCCGCTGCCTCGGATATGAATTATCAAAAACAAGCAAACTTCCTCGCAAAGGAATCCGGTCCCTTCATTCTACAATTTTGGAAAAAAAATAAAAAAAAATACCCAATACTTTCCAAGTTAGCACGCAAAAGTTTATCGATCCAAATTTGCAGTGATCGAAGATATGAATCATTCAAAATGAATTTTGATAAATTATCAACATCGATTCACAATGCTTCCAATTCTCCTTGCACGTTACAAGAATTGTTCTTTTTGAATAGACTCAGCGAGCAATATGACTTATCTTCATTCGATCCAAAATGTCTTGACTCCAACATCGAGGACGTAAGACTTGAATCAGGTGAGGTCGATATCTATAATGAACATAACAGTACCTTTCAAGAATCTACTTTTTTGTGCAGCAGCGAAATCGAAATCACCGAAAATGATCTTACAAGAAAATCTAAAAAAAGCCAATTTTCAGTTTCTACCTAACGGTAGACCTTTCGTATCGTCACAATGCCCTTCGTATAGATTATTGTAGAGAATAAATAGGGTTGCAAATATAAAATTAACAGTAAAAGACAGCAAAATCTAAAAAAAAAGACAAATCGGCAAAACTCGCAGAGCCAAACAAAACAAAAAAAAAGCATGAAAAAAAAAAAAACAACAAACAAATGGCAAGTTAAGAGCTTCAGGAACAGTGTGTAGAACCCAAAATTCAGTACAACTTGTTGAATCTGGTGAACCTTTATATTACATACTTTAATTGAACAATACTGATTTAGGATTGATCTTTAGAGACGAAGAGGATAGCTACTTAGCCCGGAGAGAAGAATATTTCATTGATAGATAGATTGATCGTTAATGTCAAAGTAAAGTTGCTTTTCATATATTCCCACAATTACAGGTATAATTACAAGTAGACTTAAAACTTAGCAAAAGGGTTAACATAGAGGAGTTATCATTGGCAATGTCTTCATTATACATTGGAGTCTATAAGGCATTATATGATTATGCCGCTCAAGCAGACGAAGAATTGACGTTGAGAGCAGATGATCTCTTATATTTGTTGGAAAAATCCGATATAGATGATTGGTGGAAAGTTAAGAAGAGAGTAGTTCCAGTTGGCGATGAAGAAGTGGAAGAACCGGTTGGTTTAGTTCCTTCCAATTATATCGAAGCGGTATGTATGATGGTTTATTTGATTTGATAAAGTGTCTACTAACAATTTTACAAGGCTCAAGTGATTAAAACAGCAAGTGCTTTATATGATTATGATAAGCAAACTGAAGAGGAACTTTCTTTTAAAGAAGGTGAACATTTCAATATCTTTGATCTCAGTGATCCAGATTGGTTACTTGTTGGAGATTCAACCAACCAATTGTTTGGTTTTATTCCTTCTAACTATATAGAATTGAACAATTCGAATGCCGCTGTAAACACTCCAATTGCTCCTCAACCCCAACAAGCAGCATTTCAACTTCCACCTCAATCGCAACCACAACAGCAACCTCAGCCATCACAATTCATTCCCCCACCACCGCATCCTTCTCAACAACCAGTCGATAAATCTCCAAGTCATCAATCTTATAATGATTCTTCAACTGACCCAAGTCCCCAGTCAAGAGGAGGTTACGATTACAATGATGTTGGGGATGATATCGATGATGATGCTCCACCACCAATGCCAAGCAGACCAACTGGCTCTAGTTCTGCTCCACCACCATCGGCTCCTCGTCCTTTGCAACCATCAACCACTGGTAACAAGGTGGGTGATTACGAACAGGAAGAAGATATATCTGCGCAACCAGAACACAGTTTTGATGGGGAATTTTTCACTTGGTATATCGATGAAGTTGACGGTCGTAAAAAGAGAGCCGTCATTTTTTCAATAGGTAAAGGTTTGGTGATTATGAAACCAAATACTAGTAACCCTAAAAAATTAAAACTCAAATCAGCATCTCAATTAGATAATGAATGGAGAATTAAAGACATCATTCAATTCAGCCATGAAAAGAAACATGTTTTTTTGGATATGAAAAACCCAGATTCTTCAATTGAATTACACGCCGGATCAAAAGATGTCGCTGAAGCAATTATTTCAATCTTGGGTGATTTAAAAGGTGCAGAACGTGCTCAAGGTTTAAAAGAAGTTGTATCTGCATCTCGTGCTAATACTGATTCAAGTAATAGAAGAGTTGGTAAATTATTATTTGATTTTGTTGCTCAAGGTGATGATGAGTTGGGCTGTAAAGAAGGTGATGAAGTTTATATTGTTAACGATACAAAGTCAAAAGATTGGTGGATGTGTGAAAATATCGATACCAAAAAACAAGGGGTTGTACCATCTTCTTATATAGAAATTGTTGGTACGGCTTATTTAGATAAATTAACGGATGGCCCTCAAAGAAGAAAATCTTTAAAATCAAGCTCTAAAGGAAGAGTAGTTGAGAGTAGTCGCAAACATCATAGATCTAGAGATGAACGTGACAGGATTAGAGAACGTGATCGTATACAGAGAGACAAATCAAGCTCTAAACGTAGTGATGGTGATAAATCAATGCCAAATTATCATAGAGTTAGAACTTGGATTGACAGCTCTGGTTCTTTCAAAGTTGAAGCAGAATTTTTGGGTTGTGTTGAAGGTAAAATTCATTTGCATAAAAGTAATGGTGTTAAAATTGCTGTTGCTGCAAATAAGCTTTCAATCGAAGATTTAGAATATGTTGAAAAAATTACTGGTACTTCCTTGGCTCAATATAAAGACGAAGTTCTTAAGCAAAATTTGAAGAAGAAGACTGGCGCTACTAAATCATCGGTTGCTGCTATTAATGACATCCCCCCTCCTCAGCCATCAAGACCTAAGACTACAACTTCTGTGTCTACCAGTGAGCCAGAATATGATTGGTTTGAATTTTTCCTTCAATGTGGCGTTGACATTGGTAACTGCCAACGTTACACTCTCAATTTCAATCGTGAACAAATGGATGAAAATATTTTGGAAGATATCAACCCATCTTTATTACGTACTTTAGGATTGAGAGAAGGTGATATTTTACGAGTCATGAAATTCTTGGATAATAAATTCAATAGAAAGAGTCATGCAGAAGAAGCTCCAGCAAATACTGGAAGCTTGTTCACTGAGTCTTCTGGTGCTTTGAAAAACAATTCAAATAGTGAAATCTCTAAAGTCAGTGCCAAAGCATTACCTTCTCCATCACCTAATAAGACTGTCGAACAACAATCACAAGAAAATAAATTTGAGGATGATGCTTGGGCGGTAAAACCTGCTGCAAGATCTAATGAAGATCTTTCAAAACCAAGTTCTCGCCCTCAAACTCCTCAATACACTGGTTCATTGCAAGACTTGGTTAATATTAAGCCATTGGAACTGAATAACAAGCCAGCAGTACCTGAGAAAGACAGACCTGTTAATGCACCTCCAGCTGCTTCAGTTACGCCTTCCGCCCCCGCTCTTACTCCTGTAAAGACTGGTAGCTTGGTTCAACCAGGTGATCAATTCTCTGTTCAGAAAACTGGAGGTGGATTGGCTAGTCAAACTACCGGTAACTTCAAACCAGTTTCCGCTCAACAAACCGGTAACTTGATTCCTGCCCAACCAACCGGGTTTGCTCCAATTACTGCTCAACCTACCGGTTTCATGCCAATTCAACCAACTGGATTTGTTCCAGTACAAGCAACTGGTATTTTACAACCTCAAATTACATTTGGTATTGTTCCCTTACAAACTGGAGCTACTACTTTCACTGCTCAAAAAACTGGTCCTCAATCCACTATGCCAACAACTTCATTCAACCAGCTTCCTATGCAACCAACTTTACAAACTGGTAATGTCACTATGCCTCAAACCTCTTTCGGCAGCCAACCAACTGGCGGTAACATGCCTCAAACCAGCTTCGGGGGTCAATCAACTGGTGGATTTATGTCTATTCAAAATACTGCTTCATTGGTTCCAACCCAACGTACTGGTGGGTTCGTACCACAATCTGCGTTTGGTCAACAAATTACCGGTGGTGCTAATTTAAGCCAAACTTCATTCGGAGGACAACCAACAGGCGGATTCCCTCAAACCTCATTTGGGGGTCAACCCACTGGTGGATTCCCACAAACCTCATTCGGTCAACCTGCTCAGCAATTCCCACAAACCTCATTCGGGGGTCAACCAACTGGCGGCTTTCAACAACCAAATCAATTCCCACAAAATACATTTGGCCAACAGTTCCCACAAACTACATTTGGTCAACCAGCTCAACAGTTCCCACAAACTTCATTTGGTCAACCAGCTCAACAATTCCCACAAACTACATTTGGACAACCGCAACAGTTTCCTCAACAAGGTTTTGCTCAACCTGATATGAATCAAATGACCAACATGTTTCAAAATACCGGTATAAACAGCCCAAATACTTTTGGCCAAGCACAACCAAATACAACGTTTGGTCAGCAACCTACCTTTGATGGATTCAATCAACCATTACAAGCACAACCAACTGGTGCTGGTTTTGGTAATGCGCCTGGATCGTTACAACCACAACCAACCGGTAAAAGAGCAAACCTTCAATCCGCCACCCCTGATAATCCATTTGGATTCTAAGATACTTTCCATACTATTCTTACATCAACTCATACTTCAAAAAGTTAAGTTTGTTATTTTTCAATTTTTTTTTTTTTCATCATTTTCATTTTCCTTTACCTTTCTTCGATTTCGATTGTGTTTACTTTAATCATGTTTATTCTACAAAACTTCTTTAGTCTTTATTTCTGCTCTAGTTTGTACTAATTCAGAGTCATTTTAGATTCAACTATAAATGTTTGATTTCCTATTTATATACGTCTTTAATAGAATTTGAGCGCGAGACAAAATTGTAACACTTTTTAACAGCCAAGGGAGACCTACCACTTCTACAATTATCACGTTATAAAGCTAACACTTGGAAATTAAGAATACTATTTACTCTATTTTTGATAAGCATGTTTTATGATAACTCGGACTTGCGAGTTTTTGCCAAATTTCTTTTGAGTGGTGAATATAATGTTACCGCTAGCCAGATCAGAGGAGATCTCTTAAGGATCTATACAATTTTTATTAAAGAGCAAAAGAGTTTGAAAGTTCCATTGAAAACTTTGGAAGATTTTGTTGAGTACTTAATTGAATTCAATGAAATAAGTGGATCGGCACTTCTTTGGAGTCCTCCTTTAACGAATGATATTCTTAAGGATGTCTCATATTTGAAAGGACCAAAATTGATTACCTTCAACAAGACCAAACTTGAATATGTATGCAATGTTGAAAAGAAGACAAAAGATGCACAAACGGTCAAGTTTGTTTCTAGTAATATCGACAAGGATTTGGATAATTCTTCCAAGTTAGTATCGCTTTTGAGTGGCCCAGTCCACACAACACTTCAAATAGAAGTTCCTGAATCCAAGTTGGTAAGCGAATACCACCAAGATTATCAGATGTTGGAAGACTTATTGAAGAAGCCTACCGCTCAACAAGATTTGGTAAAAGCAAGAGCTAAACTTATGACTATCAAAAAGCCCTTTTTTGAAATTTGCACCGACTCAAATCATGTTAACAAACTTTCAAATGTGATTAATAAAAATGGGAATTCAAAACCACTTATCAAGGTAAATTCGTCTGAGACAAATGCTAGATTACATAAAATGATTCAAGATTCTCGTAATCTGATCTCATTAGAAGTATTCAAATGCTCACACAATAAAATCCATTATTTGCCCATATATGGCTATCATACAGATCCCAGCTTGGGTGATTGTTCTTATTTGGATACTTGTCATAAGTTGAAGACATGCCGCTATTTACATTATTACACCTTGAGTCCCACGAGTAAGAACAATCCGCCCGGCCAAAAAAAGCTGGGGGTCAGCACAAAGGAGCGTATCTCCTTCGAGTACACTATTGGAGATTGCTTCAACGAGGTTAATAAGCCTCAAGTGCCAGCGCAGTGGATCAACTGTGATGTTAGATATTTACCACTTTCAATCTTGGGTAAATTCGCAGCCATAATCTCTGACCCGGCATGGAATATCCACATGAACTTACCTTATGGTACGTGCAAAGACCATGAGTTATTGGAGCTTCCGGTACAGCAATTGCAGGATGAGGGTATCATGTTATTATGGGTTACTGGGCGCTCGATCGAAATCGGAAGAAGAGCGCTAATTAAATGGGGGTATAAGGTTTCCAATGAGATGATTTGGATTAAATTGAACCAGTTGAAAAGAACAATTGTAACCGGAAGAACCGGACACTGGTTGAACCACTCCAAAGAGCATTTATTGGTTGGGGTTAAAGGTAATCCACCATGGCTCAACAAAATGGTGGATATGGATATCATTGTCAGTGCTACTAGAGAGACCCTGAGAAAACCTGATGAAGTTTATGAGATTGTAGAGAGAGTAGTGGGGAAGCATGCAAGAAAACTTGAAATGTTCGGAAGAGACCATAATATTAGACCAGGATGGATGAGTACGTACACCTCGTTTGCTTTATTGCCACCATATACTAACGACTGCTTTAGCCATTGGGAACCAGTTAACCGGAACCTCACTACATGAAAAAGATGTTCTTACAAAATATAATGATCACAAAGCAAATCAAAAATAAGTTAATCATGAGTAAACAACAAATATATAAAATGACATAAACGCGTTATCTTTAGTAGAGATACTAGGTAGATTCTTCCCTTTTGCTTTTAGCCCTAAATTCTCTAACTTTAATTCCAGCTTGGTTATCCATTTTCTTTTTCAAGTCTGATCTGTAGCCTAACCAAAAGGCAACTTCAAAAGAAACAAAAAACGGGGCTAAAACAAGAGCTTGGAGAAGGTTATCGAGTAAAGCAGGCGACCTTTTTTCAAAAACTGCATGGCCATAGAACTGAGCTAACCAAGAAACAACATGGGCAATAACCGCAATGTGAACAAACTGTTCTTTATTTATAAAAGTATAGTTATTGAGACTTTGATAGACATGTTTAGCAAGATATGCATATACCGTTATAAAAGCCCCAGTTGGTACTCCTACTTTCCAGTCATTCAAAATGTAAAAAATCCCATAACTCCATGCCAATAATGATCCCAAGTTCACTTGGGGATAGTCATCACCCAATATGTTGTGCACACTCGAAAAGGTGATGGCAGAGAGTAGAATAATCGGAATACACATCAAATGTATCGCAACATTCTTCTGGTTGAAGTGGTACGATCTGTAGAACACAAGGTGTTTTTCAATATCAAACAAGGACATGGCTATGGAGTATTCAAGTAAAAGATGAAGAATCAGAAGAAACCCAGTCGGTTTTATAATGAAAAATGACTTGTGGAGCAGAAAAACATGAGGGGAATCATCACGTGACAGTAAACTCTTTTGTTCCGAGCGCAGTCCTGTCATTTTTTTCACTTATTGTTTCCAATTGTTTCGAGATAACAAATCAATAAGGTTATATTTTGGATTGTTTCGGAGAATAAAGGGGAGCCTAGGGCTATGGGTCGCTACGGAAGGGTTTTGACTGGGGTGTTTTGGCGTGAGGGAAAGAGCTTCAAAATGTGAAGAGCACCCTGTCATTCTTCCTCGGCTACAGGTCAAGACAATAGAAAACCGTTGAAACTATTGTTGCAACCAAATTTAAATTTGTATACAATATAACCTCGAGTCTTTGAATTTTTTTTTTTTTTTTTAACTTATTTATTAACGTTATTTTATACACATTTATGGAACAGTAGGTTAAACCCTCAAGTCTAAGTTTGGTTTCTTGATAATTCTCTTTCTTTTGGATTGTTGTTCGCCTGCAGATTTATCAAAAGCACTGGCGTCATGTAAGTCTCTTCCTACATTATCCAAATCTTTGACTTTATAAATTCTGACAATCCAGTTTTGAGAAGTGAATGCTTCTTCGATGACATTCAATTCAGGAGCCATGTCAGCCGGGATGTTTTGGTTTCTCACACGATCAACACCGTCTCTTCCACCGTATAATTCAGTAAATCTATAATAAGACATCTTATACATTAAAGATTCTTTCATGGTTTTGGATACGTCTTTATCCATTTTGTATTCACCTCTTTCAGTGAAGAAATCACGTTCGTGAATTTCATCCGGCCAAATACCTTCAGAAATTCTCACCATCCATAAGAATTTGTTGATATCATCTCCGGAATAACCAATTAAACCACCAAAGATAACCAAGACATAATCAACATCGTGTTGTCTCAAAATCTTGTAAGAGACTTCTTCGTTGGAACACATTGCTTTACCGACGGTGGCAATGTGAGTATTATTCCAAGTATTGTTATCAACTAAAGTAGTACGATCTGCCATACCACCAATTTGATATCCATAATCCCACCAAGCCATAACTTTGGTATCTTCTGGAGTGTTCATTCTTAACCAATAGTAGGCTTCTCTATAATCATCAATGATATTTTGGGATCCATCTGGGCCTCTCGAAGCTAAAACAACCGATGGTGATGAATAAGCATTAGAAGTGACCCATGTACAATGTAAAACAAAGTAGAAAAGGTAGAAAGCAAATGATAATAAAACAATTAACTTCGAAGCAATTTGGAAAATTGGGATTTTGTTGGCTTTTTTTGGTTTGGACGATTTTTCATCAGAAGAAGATTCAGAAGAATCATCTTGGAAAAGATCAACAATGTTTAAGTAGACATCAAATAATTTAGATAAAGCAATAGCTGCAGAAACACAAATGATTGGGGTTAAAGTTAACATTAATCTAACCATAACACCAGCAAAGTAAGAACATAAAATACCATAAATAATGACAAATACATGTTCATCTTTCAATTCTTGGAAAACCAAATAAAGACCAGCTGGGAATAACCAGATTAACATATTAGTATCGAAAAAGAAAGCTGGCCAAGCAGTTGGCTGATGTTCAGAAACTGAAGCAATGATTGGAATGTGAATTTTAGCATAGTTGGTGTCCCATAAAGAATAGAAACGACCAGTCCAAGGAGCAATCCACCCTAATGCAGTTAAGGCAAATAATGAACCAATACCTAATAAGGTAACCAAGGATAAAGAAACAACTAAAAATGTTTTAAATTGTTGAGATGGAATTTTAGATTTAACATAATCACCAAAGGCAACTAATTGTAATAATCCAAAAACACCAAATGCAGCCATATGATCATTTGATCTAATTGGTAAGAACCCAACAAATGGAATTTGCATTGAGGCCAAGGTACCCAAAGCATACCAAGTGGTATAGGCAGTATAATGTCTGTGATTATAACGACCCATTAAAATTAAAACAAAAATATGTAAAGGAATCAAATTAGTAATGAAAACATAACCACCCCAAGCAGAAACCATATAGAAATAGAAAAGGGCAGTCAATGTACCGTAGAAAACACTACCTGATTTCATTGATTTGATCCAGAAATAAAAGGTAGCCATTAATAAAGTAATGGCGATAGCTTCATTATCATAAGAACCAGCAACAGATCTTGAAATATAACCTGGAGCAATACCCATGAAAATTGCAGCTAATAAACCTGCATTTGAATCTTTCATTTCTTTAGTTAAGAAATAGGTTGAAATAGCAGTTAAACCTGAAAATGCAGGTGCTAATAAAACACAAATATTTCTAATATCAACTGGTAAACGCAACCATTCTCTTAAGAAATGCCAGATTACACCCGAAGTTACCATTAAACCAGGGTATAAAGTACCACCGGTAACTCTACCTAAGGGATACCAAGTTCTAGTATCGAACCAATTCAAAAATTCATAAAATGAATGAGTAACCAAATATTTGGTAGCTCTAAAATTGAACCATGGATCAAATTCATGAATAATACTTTCAAATCTAATCACCGAAAACAATCTCGACGTAATTGCTGCACCAGCAATTGAAATAAAAATGATTACTTGAAGTAATGTTCGAATGGTTTCAATATTGACTCCCAATACTTTCAATTGAGATTTAGGAGATGCCATCTTGATTTTCTTGACCTTCCTGATATCAATGACAATGATGATTGATTCCAACCAAACGTTCAATCAAAATGATAAGCAATCTATGGGATATTTTGAATCAATCGATTGTAACTTCAAGAAGATTCAATAATCAATAAATCGATATTCAAACACCACCGTGTTGTTTGTGAGAATTTTCCAATTTTCAAAAAAAAAAAAAAAAAAGTATATCCATTGTATGCAGTACTCAACCTCTCTATCAAACCGTGCACCGGCTTGCAAGTACTTACGTCTATCAATTTTATTAGCATTATATGTAAATCTATAAAGAGTCCAATATAAACAGGATCCGAGTCTACCAGTAAAACCAATTCCTAAGCAAGATCTAGGAAAAAAAAAAAAGAAAAAAAGAAAATGAAAAAAAAAATGAAAATGAAAAATGGATTAAAGTAATTAAAAAGAACTCCAACTCCAATTTGCAGGCACACTTCCGACAAGTTGATCAGATCTTGGGTTTGGGTTTTTAGAGTTATCAACCGAGTCAGGGTTGTAGTCACTGGGCTGTTTGGTTTTTCTAGGGGAAATGTTACCATTAGAATGTAAGGAGGGAGGGTTACCACGAGGCAAATCGGATAACTTATCAGCAAGATCGTTATCAGGATCGGTTTGCGAGTCATCATTATGCATGGAGATTGAGTGATTTAGACTTGGAGTTGAATTAATATCAACACCAAATTCAATTCTCATGAAATCATTATAAGCTTCAATACAATTATCACATACTTTCGATAAAGTTCCTCTACCACCAGTGGTAAATTGAGCCAAATGATTTATATATAAATAATGAGAGGTGTGTTCTTTACAATAAATCCCACCACATTTACGACAATGATGTCTTCTTTCGAAGAAATTAAAGAATTTCGGGCACCCTTGGATTTGGCATTTGATAACACTTTCATCTTTTAACCAGTGTTTTCTTGTTGGTGCAGCTTTCAAAATATGTTCATATTTTTTCTTATTTAAAGTGTAGGGCCCAGTAGATGAAATTGGAGATGAGATTAAAGGGGACGAAGGGGACGAGTCATTTGACATATTTGAATCAAATGATCTGATGGAGTTTCTTGAAGAGGATGTATCTTTTGAAGAAGATTGGTTCGATATTCCGTGGTGTCTATCCATTTCTACCCCACCATTAATTAAATGTTGAGGATTACCATTAGGTTGATTCGAACCATTAATTGGTAAAGGAGATGGTAAATCATCATTAAGGGTCATTCTTAATACAGCTGGAACGTACATTGGGCTTCTAAAACCTTTCAATTGTTTAACTTGTTTATCTTTAGGATTAAATTGATGTAGATGGTTTGGATGAGAAGTAAGGTTTGGTTGTGCTGGAAGAGGAGCAGGAGGGTGGTTAGTGGAAGGAGCAGGAGGAGGGAAGTGAGTGAATTGAGAGGGATGATTATTTTCTTGATGAGGATGTAATTGAGGAAAGTGATTTTGTTGATTTTGTTGAATTGGTAATTGAGGTAATGGAGAGGGTTGAATACTTGACATGCCAGTAACATTTCTTCTTACATTCATATTTGAAGGAGGAGTTACAGCAGCAGGAACCATTTTATTTGAGGTTGAAGGTTTAAAATTTGACAAATGATTTTGACGAACCTCGTTGTGATAATTAATAATTGGTTTAGTATTATCATTTTTGGGAGAAATATTATTTTGATTTTGATCAATTTCTGGTAATCTTGGTAAATTTGAAGGGTTTTTATTAGTTGAAGGGTTTTCAGAATTTTTTGATTTGTAAGAACCTGGAGATTTCCCAGAGTTGTTTAAGCCATTTAAAGCAAGGTTAATTGAGGTTGAGGTGGAAGAAGAAATCGATTTACTTAATTGATTTTTATTGTTAGCATCTTCAGTATTATTATTTTTATTAATGATGTTGTTATTGGATTGACGGGTTAAACTTGCAAAAGATGATAAGTCGACTTCCGCTGGTTGATAAGGTTGAGATTTTTTAGCTGGGTTATTTTGTTGTTTATTTATTTTGATTGATGAGTCTTCGATTTTATCATCGGTATTTTTGAACGGGATTGGTGACAAACTTAGTTTTTTCAATGCATTGATGGTTAGTCTTTGTTGTTGTAGTAAAACCTCTTGATCATCTTGATCATCTTGATTAGCTTTATCTTGATGTTCATTAATGGTCAAATTAATTTTTTCATTATTTAATTTTGAGTCCGAACTTGACTTATCAGATTGGTCGTTGAAGGGTAATTGTTGGCCAATGACTATATTATCATTATTCTTCAAATTAGAAATACTTGATAAAACCGGGGCTTGAATGAAGGATTGGAAATTTTTAGATGAACCAAATCCATTAATTGAATTTTGGTTATTTTTCGAAATATTTTGATTATCATTACTAATATTACTACTATTTCTTTGAAAATTTGGAGGATTCTTAATGGATTGTTGTTTTAATGATTTCAATGAAGCAGTGGATAAAACTGATTGGATTGAATGAGCTCTGGGTTTTCGAACATCTTTTTTTTTAAAGGTTAAATCCGATGAATTTTCTAATTTTGAATCGTCTTCTTCAACTACGCTACTATCATTACTTTTGTCATGCTCTTCGTCGGTTTTCTCTTCAATCACTTCCTTATCATTCAGTTTATCCTCATCTTTAGTACCGATATCTCCATCCTTAGCACCTTCATGAATATCTTCATCTTTAGTACCTTCATGAATAGTTTCTGGAGTCCCCTGCTGTTTACTATCGGGTATTTTAGAGGAGGGGATAGATTCATACACTGTTTGAGATGGTTTATCGAAATCTTCTTCTGGAGTATGGGATACAGTGAACGTAGCACTGGCAGTTGAACCACTGGCTATATTAGAACTCAGATTACCAGGATTAACCTGACTATTATCTGAATCGATTGAATTATTCATAACAATAAATAGAAATGCAATAACTTTTTTAGCAAAAGGAGGGCCAGAACTTCTCTTGGAACAACACTAGATGATGAGCTAGTGGGATATAATATATATACCTATTGGATGAAACTGGTGTATTGATAAGGAAAAGGAGTATGACCAGCCGCCGTTATAACAACCAGAAAAAAGATTTGACAAAAGACCCAATAGACAAAACACCCAATATTTCCAGTGAGAAACTAGTATGCCAGTAGTATCAACTTATGATATCATGTTGTTAAGATGATCTCAGGTCCTGGCAACTACTTACGTTACTCATCTTGGATGTCCCACGCTGGAAATACGTGGATCGTCCTACGAACTACTGTAAGCACCTGAACTATGAACTATACTATACTATGAGCTATCTGATAAACTATCCTATTACTTTGAACTATAGTATGAACTATTCTTTGAACAATGCTACGAACTATACTATGAACTATACTCAATTATATGACTATGACACCCATTACAACTGTTTATACCACTGTCGACACGCTATGACGTGGATGATACCGCCGTGAACCATATAGTGCCGAGATCTACATAGATATATGTTAAGAGATACATATGCCAGGTTAGAGATACATATACGTATTGATATACGTATTGATATACTCTTAGATAAATAGATATAGATAGATATACATATACATATACATAGATACAGATATAGATATACAAGACTGGTCTTTATCTTCCCCTCAAAATCCGAGCTGGTTCACGTGATCATATAAACATCCATACACCATAGCTTTCGCGCTTACGTAATGGCGATCCGTAATTCCAAGCATCCGATTGGTTTACCGCGCGGGAGGCCGGGCGCTCCCCCCGGTGGTACGGGTGTGGTGATACCCCCCACCAAAATAAACTAAAAGAAAAATAGCTAATGCGATTTAAGGAAAACCCATCTTGAAGTAATTTCTTTCTATTAACTAAGGTGTAAGATGATTTCTCGTGTTGGTTTGGGTTTAGCAAGACGTATGTATTTGGTTTTTTTGTTGTGTTTGGTGTTTTAAGTTATTTTCGATTTACTAACGTATTTAGCTGTTGGTCGTCAAGCTATTAGACAAAGAATTAGTCCAATTTTATTAAGAAATATTTCAACTGTTAAAGCCAGTCATGAACAAGAACAAGAAGTATTGGTTGCTCAACGTAAGAACCGTCCAACCTCTCCTCATTTGACCATTTATAAACCACAAATTACGATGATTTTATCGTCATTTCATAGAATCACCGGGGTTGCAATGGCTGGAGCATTCTATGCTTTAACTTGTGGATACGCAGCCACTTCAATTTTAGGAGTTCCTTTTGATTCAAGTGTACTTATCAGCACTTTTGCCGGATTATCTGTTTTCACCAAAGTTGGATTAAAAGCCGCCATGGCTTTCCCATTTGCTTTCCATAGTTTTAATGGTATTAGACATTTAATCTGGGATTTGGGTAAAGAATTAACCATTAAAGGGGTTTACAGAACTGGTTACGCAGTTCTTGGTCTTACTGCGGTATTTGGTTCCTATTTAGCCTTTTTCTAATCTTATTTATTTATTAAATATATATATATATATGTATAACTTATATAATTGACTCATTTCAATTCATTATCATCAAATTCAAAACAAAAACATGGTGTATCATTAGTACAGAATCCACAATTTTTCTTTTTATTTGTAGTTTCATTAGTTAAATTTTGAAATATTTCATTTTGATCTTGGAAAAAATTATCTTGATTGGCATTTTCTAAAATATCATTATCAAACCCAATAACGTCTTCTTCATTATAAATCTTTGAATTAATTGGTTTCAATAAATTAGGAGTAAATAAAACTCCCGGTGATTGATTCATTGGTGCTGGGGTGTTATTTAATGAGTTTATTGGTGATAACATTGTTGGACTAGGTTGTTTTGCTTCATTTTTAATCTTGGTCTTTTTCAATTTTTCAATCGATTTAACTTCTTGATTTTTCAAATATTTATATTTCGACTTAATCTTTAAATAATAATTAATCTGTTCTTCTAATATTTTGTTTCCTTCAGTTTCATTTGCCGGTTCTATTTTATCTCCATTCAAATATTTTTTGGTAACACTATGAATTATATTGGAACTTTTGGTTAAATATGCAAGAAATTTATTCAAATCATTTATATTATTGATTTTTTCTAACTGTTCATATGACGAGATCATTGATTGACTATTACTTATTGGTGTTGAAGGAGTAGGCGGTGGTTCCATCGTTTTATTCCCATCGTTTAATGCATCAAACGTTATAACTCCATTTTGAACAAATCTTAATTCTTTAATTTGATTACTGATAACTTCAATATAATTACGTATCAATTCTTGTTCTTTTAATTTACTTAGATAAGTTGATTGTAAATTAACAATATCATTTTTATCACTTGTTTTCTTTTTATTCCCAGTTTTATTTTTTTTATCTTCTTCGTTAGCAGGTTCTCCCTTTGGCATCACTGCTTCTTTGGGCTCTTCCTTTTTAACCGATATTGAACTGATTGGCTTGGTGGCCACCTTTCCCATTAATGGAGTCACCGCAGATACTCTAATCGGTTGTGGTGGTGCCGCTGCTGGTGGCGGTGCTGGTGTTGATACCTGTGCTGGGTCTTGTGCTTTCACTTGCGGTGGTGCTTGCGCTTGTACTTGATCTTGTGCTTGTACTTGCAGTGGTACTTGAGGTGGGGCTTGTGCTCGAGGTGGTTCTTGTGCTTGTGCTCGAGGTGGTTCTTGTGCTTGGGATGAATTGATCTTGGTATCAGGTCTTGGTCTTGGTTGATTGAGTAATGAACCATTCGAGTGATTTGGGTTAATAGGTATTGCAGGCTTACCCAAGTTGATTTTCTTAGGAGCTGATATAGGCATTGCACATGTAGTTGGAGAAGCATTCAATGGAGGAGTTTGAGTCTTTTTCGATTTAAATTCTTCCTTCTTTCTACCTACTTTTTTCTTAGGAGGACTTTTAGCTTGCAGGGATTGAGGATTTAGTGAAGGAGATTTTGCAGCAGTCACAGGAGATGAGCTAGTGGGTTTTCTACCGGGTCTTGGTCTTGGAGGTAATACCCATTTTTTAGAAGTGTTTATGTTGAGGGACATGTCGGGTTTGAAAGAACATCTTGAATTGATATCAAAAGAAGATTTTTGATTTGAAATAGGTGCTGGAGCAATATTGGGTTTTGGTTTAATGGCAATAGCTGGAAATTTAGATGGTTGACATTGAGGTTTTATACCAATTTTTTGATTATTCATATTGAGATTAATTTTTTGATTCGAAGACAGCGATGCATTCATTTTAGATGCTTGATAATTTATGCTTCCATTCATATTTTTACCCTGATTTGATATTTTCCCATTCTCCGGTAGAGGTTTAATATCCTCGACCTTCGGTATATATGGAGGAGATGAGGATGTTTCTGTAGTCAGCATTATGGCCCATGCAGCTGATCTATGCAAGAAAATCAATCAGCCCGAAATTAGATGTTATAATAAGTAACCTTAATCAAAAATAAAGTGAAAAATACAATAAAATGAAGAAAGACTGAAAAATTCTAAAGAAAACTAACAAGATACTGATCAAGGAAATCTATGGGACTGTTAGTGGATATACTCAACTAGTCATTAAATCTGATTTGATCTTGTATTAAATAAATAAGCAACGTAAAAGAATAACTGATGATGTTATAATCTAATTAGCGTTCTTTTTTTTTTTTTTTTTGTTTTCTAATTGATTTTTATTTCCGCTATTCTAATTTTCAACGCACACTACAAGCACACTAGTCAGTTTGTAGTTTGTGTGGGGGAATAATACGGAAGGGAGGAAGCCAATATTCGAGACTAATATAATAATGAAATTATTTGGGTGATGTAACACTGCAAACAGGTTTGAGCATTGCAAAGGATCCGGGGATTTTTGTACCGAATCTCACCGAATAAAATGGATCAACGGGTACGGGTATTCCCTTACAAGATACGTACTTATACACAATTATGTATGAATCTATATATATATATATATGTAGAGGCATATATGTATGAATGTATATACATATGGATATACAGATTCCAGATATATATACCCACCTGTAATCAAGATTGGAATTGCTTTGTAGGAACGGTAAGGAACTGATTAGGTGCTTAAATGCGAGATTATTCGGATGTCTTCATTGGTGTACGGGCGGACTTGTCTGATGTACGGATGCAAAGTTTTGGGATGGGGTTTGAATTAATGCAAAGGTCCAGGGAATTGTAAACACTAACCACTAGTACAAGCCAACAGGATGAACAGAGAGTCGCCATTCATAGACCATGACCAGGAGAACAAGTCCACGTATAGCGATAAACAGCGCCATTTCAATAGTCTACAGTTAGAATTACAACGACTCCATCATAATATGGGAGAATTTAATGAACTAATTAACGAAACCTCGAATCAATATAAATATATACAAAATTTGGCTATAATGCACGGATCTTTATTTATGGCTAGTAATACAGTGTTTGGACATGAAAATGAATAACGTATATAAGTATTTACAAGTATTTAACGATTAATTTTTCAGTTCTTGTTCCTTTTGTTTTCTGTTTAATAATTCTTTATACAATTTTTGTTTTTCAGCTTTTTCTTTAATGTAGATATCTCTTTCAATATCTAGATATTCCATTTTTTGATATTTAGCTACACAACCTAAGGATTCTTTATTAATTGAATCACATTTCTTCATTCCTTCAACTGGATTTGAATAACTGTTTGAACATTCAACGTATGCTTTAATTAAATCGTCACATTTAGCAAAAGCCTTCTTTCTCCATCTCTCAAATATGATTTTTTCTTCTTTGGGCGTTATTAACCATGGAGGCAAGTTGGGATTAGTATTTAGCTCGACTTCTTCAAAAGATTTCTTGGGTGGATATAAACTCATGCTTGATGGGGGTTAGATTGGTTAAATCGAACGATAAAATTTTGTTCTCGCTATATATAAAAACTGTGAAAAAAAAAAAAAATGCACGGGTTAAAAATGTAATCATAACAATCATAACAATCATAACAATCATAACAAGTTATCATACAAACACAACAAGTTATTATAACGAGTTTTTAAACAATGTTGGATGAAAAACCAGAGGATCTTATCCAGTCATCTATCGACTCGTTTGAGATCGAGCCAGATATTCTCACCTTGAATCGAATCGAAGATACCATCAATAAGATATCACAAGAAAGAAGTCATAAAATATCGTTTCTACAAGAAGGTATAAAGAAATTAGAAAATGAATTAAAATCACTACAAGAAGAGTTAGAACTCTTGGGACTGTCGAATGGATTGAAAGAGACTTTGAATTCCTTGGGCGATTCGACATTAAGCAATGAAGAAGAACATGAAAATATTTTTAATATAATGAATAAAAAATCGATTGAAATTGATAATTTAAAATTATCATTAGCTAAAAAATTAAATGATTTGGAAAGTCATTTGAACTCTTTGAATATAACGAAAAATAATTTGACAAATAAACAAGAAGAACTCATTAGTGAAAATGAAAAACTTATCGATAAAAATTTATTGAATAATTTTGATTCTAAAATCATGAAGATTAATTTATTCAAAAATTTGGGTATTTCAATTGAAAATGCCAACTTAAATGAAAACGATAAAATAGTCATCTATAATAAACTAAGTGATTTAACTAGTATATTAACAGTTGATGATAAGTATAGTGATTATTTCATTACAAATTATATTTGGGAAAGGTTACCCGGTTTATAACATTTCGGTTTCTTTATATTATTATGTACATTAATTATTTACAGGATTAAAAGTATTTTGGATTCTCTCTAAAAGATTTCTTTGTCCATTTTGGAACTCTATGAAGCGATTTTCTATAACCTTTAACTTTCTTATCGAATGTAGTATATTTATCATGAGGAGTCATTTGTGATTCTTTAGGGAATTCAAATTTTAAATAATCAATTTTTTTATGTCCAGTTAAGGCTGTTCCTTCTGGTTTTAATGATTTATATAAAACTTCGATATTGGAATCCACTTGCTTCATTCTTTGTCTCAAACGGTATTTCTGCACCCCCGACATACGTGGGGCAAACTTCCACAAGTACCCTCCGCTCTTGATAAGCGTAGCCTTGAATGCACCAAACATCTTGTATATATAATTAAGTATATTCTAACAGTACTACTGAAAGATTGAAAAAGTAGGTGAAAAAAAAAAAAAAAAAAAAAAGGTTTGAGGAAAAGAGCGTGTGAAGTACAGAAATCAAAAAATATATGTATATTCTGGTGTACGTGTTTATTTATTAGATTTACATATTTTTTTTGCAGCTAATAACTATATATCTAAAAAACATCATTTGAGTCGTTTTTCTTTCTTCTCTTGTTGCATTGAGAAGGTGTAGGATCACAATGTAACTTCTTACAATGCCTTGTTAATGCATCTTTTCTATAAAAAATTCTAGCACAATTTTCGTCATTGCAAACGTATAAAACCAGTAGGAAACTTTTATATAACTTTGGACTTATTTTATTTATTTCAGTTTTCTTATCTTCAATGTTTTTACGGCAGTTTATATGCGATAAATGGGTATTCAAAATATGAACTCTCAAGTCCATTTTCTTCAAAAAACCAATTTTATTGAACACACATTTTGCATCAGGACAAAAATTATTTGGGTCTAGTGAAAAATCATCTAAATGTAGAGCATATTCTTTCATTTGATTGAATTGGTTGTCACAGTGATTACAACCAATTATCTTATTTATGTATTTAGGAACGTTCTTGAAATTTGATAACATTGATATATTAGTTGTTTTTTTACCTTCGGTTATATATGGTTTGGGGAACTTATATCTTGAGCCTTTCACCACGGGTGGTTGTGGGGTTGTTTGAGGTGTTAAAATACTTACTGGAGTGTAATTGTTTTCTTTGATCTCGGCAGGGAGTAGATTTGGTGAATTACATGGTGATATTTCTTTCATTTCATATTGTTCTTCCATACATGGGAATAAGATCCCTAACCCTGGTAAATCCACAAAGTTTGATGGAAATGGCAAAGCATTATCAGCTGGGATTCTAGAATTTGTTTTATTCAATCCCAATTTGATACTTAATTTAGAAGTATCTGGTACTCCATTGAAAATAAAATCGTCAATTAAAGAAAAGTCATCAATTAATTGATAATTATATTCACCAATAAGTGAATTGAAAGAGCTTGTTGGTAGTTGATTATAGAAAGAGTTATAAAAATCACTCTCATCATCTTTTAAGTAATCCATTTTGCTAGGTTGTAAAGTGAAGTTTGTTGATGCTACACAAATCTGAACTTGAAGCAATATGTTTTATATTTATAAATACTCGACTTCCAATGAAGTCATAAAGGTAACCACTATTAAAGTTTAATTACTTATTTTATCAATCACAAGTTTCAAACTTGTTTTAAAGTATTGTTCTTTTCTTCTCCATTTACTTGCATTTCGCCTCAGTTTCCTGGGTGCTAATTTAAGCAACTAGCCACGTTACATCTTAGTATATCAACTTCGGTTAATCATATTATCCTTATCATAACTCTCACGATGTATCCACAGTTCAAAGGCCATTTTATTGTTTAAGGGTAGAGAAAATATTGTACATAAAGCTTAATCGGTTAAAAATAACAAAAACATCTTGTTTGAGTTAGTAAAATAATAAATCCATCTTGTTTAAGTAACTAAAATAATAAAATCTCTGATTGTTCGGGTTCTTGTCAAAGTTCCGACTTGGAAGAGAATCCCACGTTCATTAGGCATAGACTATTGTTGAACGGATTTACCTGCCTCGATTACAACAGCAGTCACCCTAATGAAAACCCAAGCAATCGAGTATCGATCGGCTATCTCAAGTATATCAGGTGTCTAATTAATTCTCCTTTAGCTCAAGTATCTGAGTGGATACGAAAAACTGCATATTGCCCGACGTGCTTTAACCCTGGGAAGAAATACGAGTTCTAGATTCTTAAACTTACCAATTTTACAATTGGCATATATCGATAATGTAAAAGGCAAAATCGCATTTATTGATTTATTATAAATAAAGAATATATGAAGGATCGCATTAAACAAATAATTGCATGCATCAATAAAGATTTTCTTCCCTTTTTTTCAATGATCGTTAGATGAAAATATCATAAAAAATATAAAATATAAAAAATATCAAACACCCTTAGGGGTTAACTAAGTATTCGAATGGTCCAGTGGAGTCTCTTAGATAAGGGACCCCCCTGCGACGTCTCTTATTAACTTGACAAGGGTGTTTCTTTTTTCAAGCGAATCCTTAGTGTATCTCTTATATACTGCTTCACATTTCCGTTTTGGGCACTTAGTTAAGGAGATTGAAAATAACCTCGCCCAGCAGTTGAGAATTCCCAGTACCCCAGGGGATCTTTATTTTTTGCACTGGTTGAAAAGGAGAAGCTAGTTGAAACAATATCGTAAAGCACTCTTCAAACAGCTGGCTGTTCATTCGAATGTAGTTCTTGTATAGGCGTATATATGAGTTGAAGGGTCGTGGAGATTGTGGATATGGTTTTCATGCAAAAATGATGTTTCGTAGATCTACAAACAATCTCTTGAAGGGTTTGAAACAAGTATTGTAGTCGACGTAAAGATTGGTTTTCTTATTGTTATAACCGCCACTAATGTGTCTCTTATTGGGTTAGGTGGTCAGATCTCTCACCAAGTATATAGGCATAGTTTCACAACGGACCACAAGCAATAGGATATATACTAATAAATATTAAAGGTGGATTATTATAAAGATTGTTCTTGATTTGTAATAAGCAGCAAAGTAAGTTTCTGATATCTATTCACTGAAACATGTCCAGTATCTTAAAAAAACAATTGTCAATTTTGCTGCAAAATAAAAATTTTATAAATGCGCTAACAATCATTCCATACTTCATGACAGCTGTGATAGCCATAGATAGATAGGTGTAGGTAGATAAATAGATATAGATAAATAGATATAGATAAATAGATATAGATAAATAGATATAGATAAATAGATATAGATAAATAGATATAGATAAATAGNGATAAATAGATATAGATAAATAGATATAGATAAATAGATATAGATAAATAGATATAGATAAATAGATATAGATAAATAGATATAGATAAATAGATGTAGATAAATAGGTCTCTCGGGTGCTTTGAGTCAAGCTTCTTGACCTCCGCTCGATCGAACTATAGGCGTATATGTTAATCGAAAGAGCATTTTGGGTTGGTGAAATGAAAAGCAACCGGCATTTTTACTAGCATCTATTTGTTGCATGCATAATTCTCACATCCGGTTAAACTTTTGCATAGCTATAATCTAAACAAAATCAGCCTAAAAGCTATAATTTTGAAGCGTATTCGTATAAACTGTCTTTGAAAACCATCCTGAGTCTCTTTTCAAAGGCCAAATCATCCATTCAAAGAATTTTCAAAAAAATGGAAATTTTCTTTTACTTCATCTATTCGCTGGTATGTTAAACTGGAAATTTTATGAAAATGTCTACGGCCATATCCAGCATAAAGCATGATTACCCGTCCGATCAATAATTATTAAGCTGCTGAGAGCGATGCTGAGTACGTTAGTGGGAGACCATAATGGAAACCATCGTGCTGTAGACTCTTCGTTTTTTTTTGCTCTATTCTTATCTATACCACTTGAAATGCCTCATAGTAGTTTTTCTTGTCATTGATAACACTTATCAGAGGAGAGTATTTCGCATCCTTTGACTACAAGTAATACAACTATAATAAATAAATAGATTAAAAAAAATAAGGCAAGATTAAAAGATCCATCCAAATATTTTTTCGTACCACCAAGCAGCATTTTTTGGTTTACCTTCAGCTTCCCAAATGGCATGTTCTTCAGCTTCTTTAGCAGCAAAGACTTCTTCTTCTGCTTCAATGACATCCAAATGAGTAACCAAATCTATTTCATGAGCTTTCCAAAATTTAGTTTTATAGATAATTTTATGAATTAAGAAAGTAAGAACGAAAACTGGTAAAATGATATAGCCAGTGATAAAACCTTTATAATCAAAGGTATCACCTAAAAATGCGGTAAAGTTTTTAATTAAAATGATAATTGTACAGACTGTTATAGCACCATAAGATAAATAAGGTTGTAATGGAGCAGTGTAAGATAAAGAACTTCTAGGAATACCTTGGGCTTTCAAAGCAGCCATAAATCTAATATGAATTAACAAAACACTAAACCAAGCAATTAAACCAGCCAAAGAAACAACGTTGACAAAATAACTGAAAACTTCAGCAGAACTTGAACTTAAACTCATAAAAGCTAAACAACAAAAGAGGAAACTTAATAAAATACCATAAATAGGAACCCCAATTTTATTAGTTTTAGCGAAAATTTTTGGAGCATAACCTTCAATAGCCAAACCATAAATTGTTCTTGAACAAATATACATATCTGAATTAGCAGCACTAAAGACAAAAACTAAAATACAAGCATTAATGATATGATCTAAAATTTTAATTTTAGCGTTTTTAATTGCAATAACGAATGGAGAAGCACTTGCATCAGTTCCTGAAGCACCTAATAATAATTTGTCTTTTGGATTAACACACATTCCTAAAAATAAAATTGAAAAAACATAGAAAAAGATAATACGATATAATGTTAATTTAATTGCCTTTGGAATACTTTTCCTAGGACGAGCAGCTTCAGCGAAAACAATTACTGCTAATTCAGTCCCAGTGTAAGCGAAGACTGCTGTGACCAAAAGGGAAACAAATGAAACAAATTTACCTTTACTACCATCAATGGTTAAGTTTTTAGCACTATTTGAATATTCAAGAAAAGCACCCGGATCTTGCCAGTATCTAAAACCTCTTCTATCGCCATCAGGACCTCCACCTAAAGCAATGATTAATAATAAAATAATAAGACCAGTACAAGTAACAACTTTAAAACAACTCAACCAAAATTCAACCTGACCAAAAAGTTTAACCCCAAATAAATTAATCAATGTAATAACAACTAAAATAATTGTAATGAAAACCCCGGGACTTATTCGATCATTATTCCAAAAATTTATAACTAAATAAAATGAAGTTGCTTGATTTGGCGGGAGAATTAAATATTTAATTAAATAAACGTATCCAACTGCAACACCCAAAGATGATGAACAATATCTTTTAGCATATGAAGTAAATCCACCTGGTAATACAATAAACGTTGCCACTTCTCCAATTGCAGTCATAACTGCATAAATCACCAATCCAATAAAAGTATAAGCAATAAACATTGAGCCTGCTCCTCCAGTCTTCAAACTTGTCCCAGTTGAAATAAGAAGACCAGTACCAATACTACCCCCAAGGGCAATCATACTAATTTCTCTTGATTTTAAATCTTTCTTCAATTGATGATCAGGATCAAGATCATGGGAATATATTGGATTTGAACGAGCCACACTCAAGTTATACTCGTCAGTATGACGGGATACCACCGATTGTAAATCATTAACCAGTTTATTACCTGCAAAATTTTTTTCAAGATCCTTCATTTTCAGAATAAACTAATATTTTCCTACTTCAATTAAAGAAATAAAGAGGAAAATTGACATATTATAAATCTACTACAGCTTTGACTCAACCCCACTACTACATCATCTCATTAATATTACATTGTTTTTCGCCTTACAAGGTGTTTGTTATTTCTGTTTTCACAGCCAAACAAAGCAAAGAAAAAAAAAAAAAAAAAAAAAAAGCGTTCTCCAAAGCAAAAAAAAAATCTCCCCGGAGCTTTAGATACGAATCTCATCGCACATTCAGTTCGGCCCAGTACTTATTCTCAGCCGTTTTGGGGTCTAAGTTAGTGCCTTCTACAGCCGAAAAGTTCGTCTGCTATCGGATGTATTTCTATGGCCAGCAAGAAGAGTACGCTGTTAGCTCCCGTAATAAGTGTTTTGTGGTTTTTTCCCATATATCTGTGGTCGTAATACCATCCCTAAGAATAACCAGCTTCAAAGGCTCATGAACAGTTTCTTTGTTGAATATCTTTATCAGTTTGATAACGTTGCTCCTAGCCAAATCAAATTGAAACTAGCGTAAAATTTTTCTTGGTGGTGGAGCCTAGTGAACGGCGTCTTTAAGTGAAGGAATTCAGATTCCGTCATTAGGCAACTTTCCGTTTTTGGTCCGGTAATTTATTTCCATCTGGTGTTTGGATGTGGTGGTGGTTGAACCACGCAAAACTACTTTATTTTCAATCTATAATTGTTTTCCTTCATTTCTTCTAATGTATTTTAGTAGACCAATTTATAGGTGATATATATCCAAGGTAGGAACTCATAGTAAGACATTCAAGACATTCATCGCATATTTATATTTTATCCAAGGTACTTGCACGCTTTGCTATAAGTAATGTCATTACTAACTAATACACGAACCCACTGTAGCTAGGATAATACACGAATCCACTGTAGCTAGGATAATACACGAATCCACTGTAGCTAGGATAATATACGAATCCACTGTAGCTAGGATAATATACGAATCCACTGTAGCTAGGATAGGACATCTATATATATATCAATAGCTCAATTGACCCGAACCGCGTAAAATAGAGCGGACTCATCCAATTACTGCGAAATTTCAAAACTCTCAACATATCCGTCAATGAAAATGGCACTCACTTTTTAAAGGTTTCTTCTTTTCATTCCAGCCTTATGGTATTTCAAACGAAGCTGGCACAATTCAACCGAGACTTGTAAGCTTCTTTCTCCAACCAGGATAGTTGTATTTCAGTATATTTCGCAATTGCGAGACTTTTGTTTCTTTGACTGCCAGGTATGCTGCCAACCTCTGGACACTATCCACATAGCTTGCATTTTAATCAGTTCCCTGGGTCACCAGATCAGTATAGCTCTGCTTCTGCTGCTGAAAATGGTTTCTTTATAAAAAGCATTCTAACAATTATTGTTGTAATAACAAGGTTGAATTTTCAACGATCTGGCAAAATGTAGTTCAGACTAATGACTTCCACGTTGCTGAAATGAGTCCTTATAAAGTGTACTTACCAAGAATTTGTCTTGAAAGTACCACTATGGGGGAAGAGGTGGCTATCAGTGAAGCTACCATTGGCGAGAAAGGCAAGAGGTTTGTTCTTGGACTTTTTTAAGTTTTCTTTGAGTTTAATTCCAGGAAAAAAAAAGTACTGATTTCACTACCAGCCAGGCAGTTGAGCTCTCCAGAAAAGTAATCAAAAAACAAATGACCTTAAACGTTTCTAAATAAGTCCATAATCCAGTTAAGAAAAACTTACTTTGCCTCAGAACTGTAGAACTAGAAGGGTCGGTTTTAGATATTCACTTGCATAGATGGTCTTTATTTAGTAAGTTGAAATCGATTGTTTCAAAACTAGAACCAATCGCAGCCTGACGTAAATAGTCGGTTACGGATGTTTCCTGTCTAAAGGTCTGGAACCATCAGATGCAATGTAGTGTAGGTTGTGTATCAAAGCCACGACCAAAGGTCCATAACAAACCCCGGTTTACCAGAATGCTTTTTTTTAGATCGCTCTCTTACTTGGGAAGTTTCGGATGACGTTTTTCACTGCAACCAATGGGGTCGACCGGCCGGTCCACCCTTTGGTTCCAATTTTGTTTCAATTTCTTTGGGTTCCGGTGCTCCATGGAAGTTTGCTCTGGGTCCACAGCAGTTTGACAAGGCACGAATTCAAAAAGCAATAGGTGACTTAGTCAGTAAATAAGCGAAGGAGCCCGCAATTGCAACTGAGGCCGGTGCCCGATCCAGGTGATGAGTGTTTCAATGGGCCCATTATCCAGAGAGCAATATCTCTTTACAATAAATTACAAGTTAACATTTAAAGTTTATTAATAGAGGTGTGTATAGAAAAAATGTTGGATTTTTGATAAATCTTCAGTTTTTCCACTTAAAAGTGGTCCGAAAAAGAATTGGATCATGGGGAGTTTATTGGCTTGGGTAAATGTTGTATTAGAGGTTGCTATTGGTTATTCTTGAATAACTTTCAGGTGTAAATCCAAAAATAAAAGGGGAAAAAAAAATTACAGAAAACTTCTCAACAATACATTACCAGAAAGGAAGAAAATCTGGGGTAATCCTGATAATTGAGGTCAAAATCAATACATGAATATTTTTGACTTGATTTAACTGGAGTTTACTTCCGACTTCGAATATGCAATTGGAAGCAGGTCTTTAAAAGATGAAGAACAAAATAAATAAAAAAAAAAGCAAGACTAAAGGGGTTTTAAAAGTATATAGGAGAGTGCGTTCACCAACCAAACCCATTGAGTATACGTGAAATGGTGCGACCTTGGTTGCAAAAGTAATTCAAATTTTACTTGAATGACTAGTGGATTTCCTTGCTTATCCTATGATAGTAATATGGCTAATTTCAAATCAGCCTTTTAGTTCTGATTAGAGAGACCACTCAATCAATTGAGGTATTTATCATTTGATTGATAAGATACGATTCATCAACTTGTTCGATACTGTTGACCAATTATAATAAATACCGCACACACACAAAATGGAGACGATAGCTTAAAGTGAGGGAAATATTGTCAGTTTAGACACCAATTTGTTATTTTCAATTGTCAATTAATTGACTTACGACTCTCCTGCTATACTAAATTCAAATGAGCATTGTAGTCGGTACGGTTTTTTCGGTGGTGATTTTTGTTTTTCTCTTCTGTTTTTCTCTGTTTTTCTCTGTTTTTCTCTGTTTTTCTCTGTTTTTCTCTGTTTTTCTCTTCTGTTTTTCTCTGTTCTGCTTTTTGTTTTATTTTTTGTTTCAGTTTCACAACCTACCGAGCACATTTGAATAATCTCATGTTAAAATTCAATTCAATAAACAATCACGTTCCTCAGTACAATGGGAAAAGATTGGGGTAAGAGCTGTTTTGTGCTGGTTGTCTCAAGCCTCATTCCTCGTGGTGAGAAAAATTCGCACGTAAAAATTTTCAAGTATTCAAGCAGTAGATCAAGTGAAACAATACAAATCTTACAAGACAAATTAACAAAACTAGTATAATATTCAATTATATTGTATTAAAAAAAAGAAAAAGAAAAAAAAAAGTAAAAAAGAATTAAAAACTTATTTTTTTTTGTATTTTATTAGGCAAACAAAGACCTTCTATTAAACCGATTATATAAAAGTAGTAGTAGTAGTAATAAAAAAAAATAATAATAAACCCAAAAATATAAAACCCATAATGATAAAAAGATAAAAAATGACTATTACTTCATGACTATGTTTCGTAAGAATAAAATAATAAAGAGTAAAGAATTCTAGTTATGTTCTTCAACAGACTTTCTTGAACCCTCATAAACACGCGGTCAACCATTTTCTGTAGTTATGAGAAGTAGAAGGTAAATGGTCAGCGATATTAGTAGAAGAGGTAGCATTTGAATACTGGCTAACCAGGTAATTCAAGTCAAAGTAATTGACATCGCTAGAATCCTCGTGTTGATAATTCTTAGATGATAAAAGTAATGGGGAATCATTCACGTTATTGGCAGTTGCATAGTTATTGTTATAGTGTTGGTATAAAGAAGGAGTCAATAATGGAGAAACCATGTCATTCACTTCATCGTTATAATCGAGACTTTGCTCTTGGTGATGATGACTATGATGGGATTGATCTATTATAGATGATGATTGTTGTTCATCAATAGCTTTACAAGATTCAGAACAGTAGATAGAATTGGTGGGACATAATTTATCACAAGCTATGCAATAATTATTGAAAGCAAAATCAGTATCAGACATTGTCAATGTGTATATTAGTGAAATGCAAATTACTAGTGAAAAAAATTGCAGCTAGTAGTAGTAGTTGTAGTAGTAGTAGTACTTGTTGAAATTAATGCAGTGGCAGTATAAGAAGTGATTCTAATACTTGATATCAAAGATATATGATTTATAAGAAGGTAATAATGAAATAATAAAATATGAAAGACAAATGAAAATTTTTGGGAGGAAGCCAGGGTTTATTTATATAGAACTTTGCAAAAATGAGTAACTAAAAATTTTTACTGCTATTTCTTTACATTGCAGATACTAGATTCCTAACAAAACGAAAAAAAAAAAAAAAAAAAAAAAAAAAAAA